TTGAACTGGTATGCACATATAATCAAAGAACTTGGATGGCCGAAGCAGGAGGACCCAAACTGGAGATCCTGCCTCAAAAATAAAATACAAGAAACAAAAATAAAATATAGATCCTGCTCCTCAAAATACTTGAAAAGTCCTTATTATGTAACATTTAAACTATTAGTTTCAATAGACCCTTAAAGAAAATGAGTAAGACATGACTGCTTAGTGCTCAGTTTTTACCTGGGTCAGTTCTGAGATTTTGTGTAATAAATCAACTTAGCCAGAGAAACAACTGGCTGAGGGCTGAAGATGTAGCCCTGCTGGTGGCTCGCCCTGGGTTCTATCCCCAAGTCAGCATATAAACTGGGGGTAGTTGTACATGTCTGCAATCCTAGTATTCAAGAATTCAACTGGCTATGAGAGAGAGGCTGCCTAAAAAAACTAAACACACACACACACACACACACACACACACACACGAGAGAGAGAGAGAGAGAGAGAGAGAGAGAGAGAGAGAGAGAGAGAGAACAAAAAAAAAAGCCTGAGACAGCTGAACACAGCCAGAAGTTTCCTCTAAACATTTGTAACCTTTTGAATAAAGCTAATTTGTAACTTGTTCAATTGGAATGTAGGGAATCTAGTAAAAGGGATTTCAAGTTGTGTTTGTCCCTGCTTCCAGTAGGTACTCAATCCTGCATTCATATACGGCACATCATTCCAGTCATACATGCAAAGTAAAACATTCTTTCCACACTTCTGCATATCAGGTTGGTAAGAAAATGTTCAAGTAAATAATGCGAGAAATCATGTTCCCTAGTTCTCACTTAAAAAAGTAAAACAAATAAATAAATAGATGTGTGTCTGCCTGTCTGTCTGTGGGTATGTACGTGACAGACAGCAGGTCTACAAGAACAGAAACTCCGGATGCCCGGGAGCTAACGCCACAGGCAGTTGTGACATGAGTGCTAGGAACCAGATTCCGGCCCTCAGGAAGAGACTACTGCTCTTAACCTCTGAGCCATCTCTCTAGCCACTAGTTCTCACCTTTTTACTGGGAAAAAGTCTCCATGAATATTAAAGGTCTACAGCTTTACTTTTAAGTCCATCTTTGCCACTGCAAGGTAGCTTCTGAAAAGATAAAATACTGTCTACTGAAAAGGACAGTTAACTAGAACAAGTAACTGAAAAAGGTACTATAAGTAGCATTAAACTTAAAAAAAAAAA